GTTGTGGACAAATAATAAATAACTTTGCAAAATAAATAACCATTAAGAAAATTCTGAATTGTTAAGTGTTGTGAACAAAACTTCAGCTGTATTAAGTTATTAATTATTCCGAATAAGTTCAAATTGCAAACAGCTTGAGTCAATATAAGTTATAAGTCAATAAAGTTATAAGTTAAGAATTTCATCTGTTTTTTTTCATCTCCCGAGAGACCACGACAAAATCTACGAGATTTATTCTGCTGGCATTGTGAGAGACATGAGGTTCGAACCATTGACTGCTGTCGTAAACAATCAGGAAACGCGCAAAGGTCGCGTCTTCCAGAAAGGAAATACGTGGCCATAAATCCAGCACCAGCACAACACCCTTTGTAATTGAACACAATCGACTCTATGCAGAAATAAGCATCCAAGGCCAAGCATTCATAGCCATTGACACAGGCGCAAGTAAAAGCTTTGTTCAGCCAAACGTAGCATCATGTCTCATAGGTAACATCACTGACGTAAAAGTAATAGTCCAAATCGCTGATGGCGCACCATGGTATGTGAATAACATCGTTGACACGTGCTTGCTAATGGGAGGACGTGAATATCAGGTAAGTTTGTTAGTGTTGGATGAAATGGTTCATGATGTCGTTTTGGGGATAGACTTTTTGGTCACAGCATCAGGTACGCTCTACATAGGGAATAATGTTATCAAATTTAGTCAAATCTCAAAGACCACATTGAATCAGGTCTCGCTAAATTCAACTTTCGAAGAGGACCAATATACAAAGAAGTTCCTAGATACAGTATTATCAGAATTTGAAACAATGAAAGGACCAGTGACGACGCGTGCCCTATCTGGAAGGGTGTGCGGCCCTTCTTTAATGTTGTTTTTACATGTACCACTTAAATTAAAATATATGAGATTAATAATAACCATATTATATTAGGCAACAATATATTCGCAATATTATATTAACTATTCATTAACAAAATAACATATTAAACAAATTAAATTAATAATTTATATATAAGTTTAATATTATATCAATATGGAAGAAACAAAACTTTTCACATAATTCTCGTAACATCAAACCAAATTTTTTCAAACAAAAGAGTTTTAACTCAGAACCATACATATTTATCCACTGATCAAACAAAATCAAACCCACTTGCACCGTATAAATGTGCGGACAAGTACCCCTCACAATAAGAACAGAAATTCGTGTGTGTTGCTGTTAAAAGGGGAGAGACGAAATGTGATAGAAATGTATGATGATATGAGTTGCAAACTTTAGCCGCTCATGCAACCACTTTGGCAAATCATCATGTTGGATTCGTATGCATGCAGTTGATATTCGAATAGAACAGAAAATTACTCTCATACAATTCCCACTATATAAATCTCTATCTCTGATATTAAAAACGGGAGCATACCCACATTATTTTGTTCATATGCAACGTATGAATGTGCGGCCAACTTCTTTGCACACAAAGGGGAGAGACGAAATATAATAGAAATGTTCTGTGATTTGAGCTGTAAATATATGAACACAACTAACAAGTATAGCAGTTAACAGAAGCAAATTGATTGAGTTTTCATAGACAATTAAATTTAATTGTTTTTGCTAAAACTTTAAAAATATATATATGGAAATGTAATAAATAATCATAATTCTTGATGTGAAGATACCTAATAAATTTATATACCTATGTTATTTGACATTTTGCAAATTATGTTAGGGTGTTCACCGCACACCTCCGCACCTTAGAGCAATCGTCACTGGAAAGGACTCTCTAACATTACATCGCATACAATCACTATGAAGAACGATCATACAATCAAGCAGAGATATTATCCGAGGAACCCGGCGATGCAAAAAGTGTTAGATAGTGAAATCGACGAACTACTCGAACAAGGTTGCATTAAACGGTCACATAGTCCATACAGCTCATCAGTCGCATTAGTAAAAAAAAAGACGGAAGTTGGCGGCATCGATTACCGACAAGTCAACACACGGTAAATTCCAGATGCGTATCCCATCGCACGGATCCAACATATATTGGACCAACTCCGAAATGCAAAGTATATTCGCAGTCTGGACTTAAAAAGCGCGTACTGGCAAGTTCCTATGGCGCAAGACAACAAACAGTACACTTTGTTCACAGTTTCTGGACGAGGGTTGTTTCAATGGCGAGTGATGCCTTTTGAATTACAACCTTTTAGAGACCCTTGATAGCGTAATTGGTCTTGACATGGAACCCCACGCGTTTGTCCATTTGGATGATATAATAGTGATAGGGCCCACGGTAGAGGAACACACGGCAAATTTGAAAGGAGTTTTTCGGCGACTGAAGGCAGCAAAATTGAAGCTGAATGTAAAAAAATGTCAATTCTTTACATAGGAAATCAAATACTTGGGGCATTTAGTGACACCTCAGGGCATTCACACCGATCCAGAAAAAATAGCTGCAATCAAATATCTTCCACCTCAATGTAACGTCAAGGAGTTAAGGAGATGCTTTGGTATAGCTTCGTGCTATCGCCGGTTTGTACCTCAGTTCTCCAGTACTATTTAACCGCTAACGTTGTTGTTGAAATAGGGTAAGCGTTGGCATTGGACAGAAGAACAACAAGCGGCATTTGATAAACTAAAAGAGAAACTATCTTTGCATTTCCGAATTTCAACGAACAATTCGTAGTACAAACAGTGACTTTGGGCTAGGAGCGATATTGTCGCAAACAGTATCTGGAAATGAAAAGGTAATCGCGTATGTAAGTCGTACCTTAAATGCGGCAGAGAAAAATTATACGACAACTGAGAAAAAATGCCTGGCAATAGTTTGGGGTGTGCGCAAGATGAAGCAGTATTTAGAGGGATGTCATTTTGTAGTTATCATCGATCACCTGGCATTAAAATGGTTTAATAGCATCGATAATCCTTCCGTTAGAATTGCAAGATGGGCCTTAGAACTGCCACAGTAGTCACTACGAAGTGCAATACCGGAAAGGGAAATATGACGTTATTGCTAATGCGCTGTATCGACAAACGGCAACCTACGTTAGCTTAGTTAGACACAAATGAGGAAAATTGTCGTTACTGTGGATGGTTATTGAGTTTGAAGAAAGTGGTGCAAGAAAATCCTGCGAAATACCCTGACTACATCATTGAAGGTGAGCAGTTATATCGTCAGATCCCAAACAATTTCAGTATCGAAGACCAAACGTGCTGGAAACTGTGCGTACCACGTGATTTGGGTCATCAAGTTCTGAAGGAATGCCATAATAAAGTCACAGCGGGGCAGTTAGAGAATCAGAAGACAACTATTCGTGTTGCGGTAAACTATTATTGGCCTGGGATGTATTGCGATAATATAAGGGATTACGTAAAAAAATACGATACTTGCCAAAAGTACGAAGTTTCACAACAAATGAGTGCAGGGAAAATGCTAACCACTATTCCAGAAGAACCATGGGTGACATCATAATGCGGACTTCATTGGTCCTGTTGAATATTTGTTTATATTATATTATATTATTATATATGAATATTTTGTTGTTATTAATTTTGTATGAATAATTTGTTATTTTTATTTGTATTGTAATAATTGTGTTAAATATATTTGGTGTAAAAAATAACGTTGTCAATGCAATGCCCAAAATACGTCATACGCTTCTGTTGGCACATGAAAACAAAAGCGTCAAATTTCGTCTGCAAGAAAATGCACTCTTGCAGTTTGCAATAAGTTCATTGTTTGGCATGCATTGTCAAGGTTATTTTAGTTAATTTATTTGTTGTAAATTAATTATCAATTTTAAATAAAAGGCACAATTGAGTTTTTGACAATTCAATTGATGCGAAGCCACATTCGTTATCGATTCTTTTTTGTTCGTTCTAATAGCTTGTAGAGTTGGTTCAAGTACCAAATTTACACCATATAAGCACCTGCCTACTGGATTCAAGTGTTCAGTAATCAGGATAATTTAGGACAATCGTCAAATCACTGGGTTCAAGTGCTCAGTGGTTCTCGTGTTCAAATAAGTCAACATTTAAGAGTTCAGTACTTGCAAACAGTTGATTTCAACTTTTGATTCAGCGTGTGATCATACATTTTGGTGTGATCGTACATTTTGGTGACCCCGACGTGATCGTTAGCAACAGTCAACAATCAACAGTCAGCGGTTAAGTTTCAGCATTCAGCTTTCTAAGAACATTTTGAAGAACATTTGGCAAAAAACTCCAAATCATCAATGACAACTCTTAATGAACTCATAGATGCCCAAAAAGGGCGAAGAGATTCAGCGAATCATCAGGAACTTCAAAAAGGATTCGGCTGAACGCAAGCAAACATCAGCATACTACAGTGAAAGATTTCGTCGGCTTGATGTTGCTTGGAAGCAGTTTGAACAAACTGTCACAATGCTCAGAACTCTCATCGATCAACCGACAGATGATGAGTATTTTACATCTTCCTATTACGAGAAAATAAGAGAACTAACAAATGAATACAGTGAAATATTCAAGACAGAAGCCCTACGGATCAAAGCAGCAGACAACTTCGGTGAAGGTGTTAGTAACCAAATGGCATCACAGCCGCAACTAGTGGCTACGACAAATGGTTTGACAAGAAAAATATCCGCTCGAATGGCAGCTTAAAAAAGGTTAATAGAGAGTTTGTCAGAGAGCGAAGGCATTCAACCACTTCAATATTACGAAATTAAATCAAACACAATCATGCAACATTGGAACCAATTGGAATGTTTGCATGATGAACTCTGGGAAAACTTTGAAAATCCACTGATGTCAGGATTCAATCAAGATGAGTATTACCAAATTGAAGATTTGGTACAATAATGTTTGATAGAGTTGTCCATAAAATTGGATCAATTACAACAGAAACAAGCAACAGTAGCAGAACCAAACATGCGGTCCTCACTGCCATTGCCAAAGGTAACAATCCCAAGTTTTAATGGGAATTACTTAAAATGGAGGCAATTTTTTGACTTGTTTACACAAATGGTAGACAATCAGCCACTACCAGCTGCTCAAAAAATGTGGTACTTGAAATCACATGTGACAGGTGAAGCTGAAAAATTGATAAGTCATTTCAGCATAACCGACGACAATTATTCGGCACATGAACTTCTAAATCAGCCATCAGGCACATCAACTGTGGCAGCAGTTAAAAATTTACATGTCACAACGAAAGAGTGTCTATTAGCACTAAACAATCTTGGCGTTCAAACGACATTTTGGGACCCAATTTTGTTACAGGTACTAATTAAAAAACTCGATCGGGCGATGCTCATTAGATATGAGCAATCTCTGGCAAAACCAAAAGAGATACAAAACATTCAGGAGTTTTTAGCCTTTTTAGAACTACAGTTTCAACTGATGGAAGTTGTAGAACAAGAAGATAAGGTGGCTATAAAAATTAAAGCAAATCGAAATAACTCAGTGTCATCGGCTGTAACAGTTTCTAAAGGAAACAACAATTGCAAACTGTGCAATGTAGACAGGCACCCACTGTATCATTGCCGTAAATTCTTGCAATTTTCACCATCTCAACGATTGGATTGGGTGAAAAATCAACAGCTCTGTTTTAACTGTTTCAGAAATGATCATGTGGTGAACAAATGTTCATCAAGAAGTTGTACCAAATGTAATAAAAAGCATAACACGTTGTTACATTTGGAAGTTAACAATCAAACAAAACAAAACATTCTACCTAGCTCAAGTGGGTACAACACCGCAGTTACCACAGCGACAGCAAATACATCCACATGTCATTGTGATTATGTTTTCTTGCCAACTGCAAGAGCCAAAATAACTGCTTCTAATGGAAATACAAGTGAAGTCCGAGCATTACTAGACTCTGGTTCGCAAGTGAACATAGTCTCTGAGCGTCTTGTCAAAAGGCTCAATATATCAAAAACAAAATCGTTATTGAGCATAGAAGGTATAGGAAAGGTGCAAAAAAATTCAACGCAGCGAGTTAACATCAAATTGCAACCACTTAACTCAAGGTTTACTACAGAAGTCGAAGCGTTTGTGCTTCCAAATATAGTTCCACCTCAACCAAGTTGCAGCTACGATATTTCCAAATGGAAGGTCCCGAACAGCATTCACTTAGCAGATCCAACATTTTTCCAACAAGGGAAAATTGATATTTTACTCGGTGCGGAGTTCTATTTTAGTCTGTTAAGGTAAATTAACGCTTGCTCCTGGGCTTCCAGTCTTGCAAAATTCTACACTTGGCTGGATTGTCAGTGGCAAGGTTGCATCAAATACAGACACATCAAACGTTTTATGTGCAGTTTTTGGCGGTGGGGCGGAGGTTGTTGATAATAATTCATCATTAGAAGATGCAATTGAACGATTATGGCGAATGGATGAGGTGAATACAACGTTTTGTGGTAAGATTGCCGTTTCTGGAAAACTCATTGACGTTAGGAGAATCTCAAGAAACAGCTTGGAGAAGGTTCATCAGTCTTGAACGACGACTAGCAAAAAATGATGTTTTGCGGAAACAATATGTCCAGTTTATGGAAGAGTATGAGCGATTGGGTCACATGACTGAAGTAAACCTGGATTCCATGTTGACTCCAAGATATTTCATTCCTCATCATTGTGTACTAAAACCAGACAGTACAACTACTAAACTTCGAGTGGTGTTTGACGCATGAGCCAAAACTACATCTGGACACTCGTTGAATGATTTAATGTATAATGGACCGACAGTTCTAAGTGAACTCTTTTCAATTCTGCTCCGTTTTAGGCGACCACGGTTTGTTTTTACCACAGATATCGAGAAAATGTATCGCCAAGTTTTGATAAATCCTGAAGATCGACGCTATCAACTTATCATTTGGAGAAGCAGTCCAAATTCAACGATTCGTTATTATCAGCTAAACACAATTACATATGGGACTCGAGCAGCTCCTTACCTAGCAACAAGATGTCTGGAAAAGATAGCATTAGAAAACAAGGTGAATTATCCATTGGGAGCTCAAATCCTGTGTGACAATGTCTACGTTGACGATGGGCTCGGTGGATCAGATAGTTTAATTACGGCTATTAAAGCTCAAAGGCAATTAATCCATATTTTAAAGAAGCATCAGTTTTACCTACGGAAATGGAGTGCAAACCATCCTCAACTTTTGAAAAACATTTCTCAAGATGATCAAGAGGTAAATCTAGATTTTACTAATGATAATAACGAGTCAATCAAAACGCTGGGATTATTTTGGTTGCCCAAGGCGGATTTATTTGGAATTAAGGTCAAAATGGTTACTGAAGGAATAATCACGAAGAGAGTCGTTAGTTCTGATTTAGCTAGACTGTTCGACCCACTTGGTTTAGTAGCTCCAGTAATAGTCAAAGCAAAGATTTTCATACAACACTTATGGCAGTTGAAATTATCTTGGGATGATCCACTTCCTACAGATCTTTGTACAACATGGTCAACATTTAGAGAAAACTTAAGTACTCTTGAAAATCTTCAGGTGGCAAGACATATCTTCAGAGGCGAGGTTCCATCATCAACACAGCTACATATTTTTGCTGACGCATCTGAAAAGGCATTTGGTGCTGCAGCATATGTCAGAGCAATTTTAAAAGATGGTAGAATAATAGTGCGACTATTATGTGCAAAGTCAAGAGTCGCACCACTCAAAAAACAAACGCTACCGCGACTAGAGCTATGTGCGGCAGTCTTAGCAGAGGAACTCTCAGCAAGAGTGAAAAGCGATCTTCAAGAGAAGGACCAGCCGGCATTTTTGTGTACAGATTCAGAAATTGTGTTGTCTTGGATCAATTCACAGTCTTCATCATTTCAAACATTTGTAGCTAACAGGGTGGCAAGAATTCAAACTTTAACTCTGTCTGAACAGTGGCGACATGTTAGGTCAAAGGACAACCCAGCTGAAGTGTTATCAAGAGGACTTTCAGCAAGGGCGTTGTCAACATGTGCACTTTGGTTTCAAGGACCGTTCTTTTTGCTTGGAAGGCAGGAAGTATGGCCACCAAGGCTTTCATCATCATTACAAGTTCCAGCCGATCTGGAGAAGAAGAAGGTTGTAGCTGTAGCAACTCAAATCAATGACGCAGATTTCATATACAGGATTCAGCATAAGAATTCATTTAAGACGTAACAAAAGATAATAGTATATGTTCTTAGATTCACTAACAACGCAAGAAAATCAAAGGAGTCACGTGCCACACATATAGTACTTAGTGCCAAAGAATTGGATGCAGAATTAATAACTATAATATGTCACATTCAGGGTAATGATTTTCATGAAGAAATCAAACAACTGAAGAAACAAGGTCATGTTGATAAATCTAGTTCAATCAGTAGTTTATCTCCATTTATTGATAATGCAAATGTTCTTAGAGTAGGAGGACGCTTAGAAGCCTCATCATTACCACACGATTCTAAACACCCAATGCTGATCCCATACAATGATCCATTGGCAAAATTATTATTCGTGATGTTCCATGAAGAAAACAAACACTGTGGCCCGCAGGCACTATTGAGTACAGTCCGACAACGGTTTTGGCCGATTAAAGGTAAATCAACAGCCCGAGCAACGGTTCAGCGATGCATTCGATGCAACAAAGCACGTCCGCAACAATGCCAACAAATTATGGGCAATTTACCAGAATCAAGGATAACTCCTGCAAGACCCTTCATTAATGCTGGTGTAGATTATTGCGGACCATTTTGGATCCACTACAAGGTGAGGGGCAAAAAGCCAACAAAGGCATATACATTGTGACCGAAAAGTTTCCGGTCAAAGTTAAATAAAACGCAAAATTCTTAATCTTCATCAATATTTATTTTATCTCCTTCAAAATATGCTCCATTAGAAGCGATACACAATGCCAACGTTTCTTCCAATCATCAAAACATTTTTTATAGGCGCTTTCCGGTATGGCTTTGAGTTCCCTCTGCGAATTCTGTTTTACGTCTTCTATGGATTCAAAACGCGTTCCTCTGAGTGGTAATTTGAGGTTGGGAAACAGGAAAAAGTCACACGGTGCAAGATCAGGTGAATACGGTGGCTGTTCGATGGTATTTATTGAATGTTTGGCCTTAAAATCGTTGATAATGTTGAACAAATTGAGGTGAATCGGAACAAGCCGGGCGTTGACACGTCGCATACACAAATTGTCCACCAAAATCAAACGAGCCATCTCACGACCGATGCCTAGCTCTCGTGCTATCTCTCTAACACTCACATGAGGATTTTTGAACACGATTTCCTTTGCCTTTTCAATGTTTTCGTCGGTGGTAGAGGTCGAAGGTCGTCCAGAACGCGGCATGTCTTCGACGGTCGTACGACAGTCCTGAAAGGCTTTGTACCACTCATAAACTTGAGTTTTCGATAAAACTGATTCCCCATAAGCCTTTTGTAGCATTCGCAACGATTCTGCACACGAAATTTCGTTCGAAAAACAAAATTTGATGCAAACTCTTTGTTCAATATTTTTTTCCATTGTTTTTTTCGCAACGCACTACTGAGGTGAACTGGTTTCAACAGCTGCCGTAAACGAACTGTCCGACAGATCGCGCTCATTTTGGCATTAATTACGGACAGTGCTTGCCACTAATAACTAATATCGACAAAATATTTACAGCGCGCGAATTTAATGAGAGTGACGAAACTTTTCGGTGCACAATGTATTGTCTTTTGTTGCTTTTCTACAAAGGCGGTACATCTCGAGTTAGTGACCGACTTATCAACAAATGCTTTCATTGGAGCATTAAAACGATTTATAAGTCGACGAGGGCGTTGTTTGAATATTTACAGTGATAACGCAACAAACTTCGTAGGCGCCAAAAACCAGTTAGCAGAATTAGAAGAAAGCATTTATTCTAATGAAGGACAAGAAGCAATAATCTCTGCCTGCAGTACCACAGGAATAAACTTTCATTTTATTCCACCAAGGGCTCCACACTTTGGCGGTTTATGGGAAGCATCCGTAAAGTCCGCAAAATATTTGTTACTACGCAGCGTTTCAACAGCATCATTGACGTATGAAGAACTCGAAACAGTAGTGGTGGAAATTGAAGCGATATTAAATTCACGACCATTGACTCCAATGTCCAATGATCCAACTGATTTGACAGCATTAACTCCAGGACACTTATTAATTGGAGAAGCTCTTACAACTCATGTAGACAGCCGATCGAAACCAGAAAAACACACGTTATTGTCACGTTGGAACCTAGTTTCTCAGTTAAAACATAATTTCTGGAAACGCTGGTCTAATGAATATTTGATGGAACTGCAACAACGTAACAAATGGAAAACACAATCTGCCAACATACAGTTAGGAGACATGGTTATAATCAAAGAAGATAACGTCCCAGTGATGCAGTGGCCCTTGGGACGAATTGTACATGTGTACAAGGGTACAGATGGACATATCCGAGTAGCTGATGTTAAAACATCGGCAGGCATTTTTAAACGCCCAATTCATCGATTAGCTATACTGCCTGTAAATACAGATGATCAACCAACAATGGCCGAAGCTGATCACGAAGTACCTCCTGACAAGTTAATTATGAAAGATAGAAAAGAGTCGTATGAAGAGCCCAAGACAAAACGTAGAAAACTGCCGACCAATTTGTACTGTTCTGTATTACTTACATTATTACTGATATTGCCAATAGTAATAGGATCTCCAATTGACAATAAAGGGTTTGGCACAAAATTGGGTATTCACTTTGAAAATCTGGGCACAACTGCCATATCAACCACTGAATGGAATCTACTAGTTTATTATGATTTAAGTCTTTATTGGACGGAAGCAGCAGCTCTAAACACAGGAATAATGTCGCTACATCAAGCTTGTCAACAAATGAAACCAAACGCATCATGTGCGAATACAGTTAATCACTTTAAACATATTGAATCCGAACTACAACTCGATGATAAATTACTTCATGATCATCGCTTCAAAAGAGGAGCAATTGACCTTGTAGGCAATATTGCACATTCACTGTTTGGAGTATTAGATTCAGAATATGCCAAAGGAATGTCAAATATAATTACAGAAGTGAAACAAAATGAAATACAATTATTGACGCTATTTAAGAATCAGACATCAATTGTCGATTCAACAATCAACATAATGAAGAAAGATAAAATAGCAGTTCAAGAAGGTTTTGACCACATTGACAATGAAATAAAGGCATTGATAAATTCAATAAAAGATACAAATAGAGAGGTAAATCAATTACGGCTCAATCAAGTTTTCAATGCAGGAGCCATTCAATTAACACTGGTAGCACATAATCTACAGAAGATACAATCTGCTATTATAGATGCTTTAACTGATACTCATCATGGAAAAGTGAATCCATTGTTATTGACACCAACACAATTACAAAAGGAAGTTAATCAAATCAAACTTCATTTATCACCATCATTAGAATTACCGATGCCAGAAGATGAGTTAATATCCCTTTACAGACTAATGAAGGTT